AATAACCAAACCCAAAAGTGTTATGATATGAGACAACGAGGTAGTCGAGGCTAGGACATGGTGTTTGTGGCTCAAGGCCACAGCATATATCTCTAGTGTACTGGTTAGGCGCACATGTATATAGTTTCATAGATGTACCAACATGAATGGGCTTAGGTTCAGTCTTATACTTTCTGTCCATCTACCTACAGCATAATATTATATGAGTCTTTTCACTGTCACCCACTACATATATCATCATCTATTCCTCATCACTCCGCAATATGACTTCTGCATAGCTCACACCCATAACAAATAGGAGAGAGATACTCTAATATACGGTTCTCTTTAACACGTTCCATTTGCAAACACAAAACATTGCTTCAAGACACGCTCAGCATCACGGCGTGCCATGGATAGGGTAAAAACCATCGATTGCCGGGGAATTCGAATGATAAATAGCTGGCGCAGTATTGGAAATCCTGGCTCTCGAATTCGGAACTCACTCGTTGTTTGATCCGTCTGAGGTTCTCGACAAGACAAACTCTCCTTATGCGTGTCTTCGGTGCCTTAATCACACCTTCTGTTGCGTATACGTTTGGATCTTTACGTACTGCAGTGTACCTTGACCCATCATGATAGATGAGAGGCGGTTAGGCATGACTAACTTTGACAGGCGCACATGACTAGTGGGTGTGTTCATCAGTCCAAAGGTGTCAAAGTTATAATTTATGAAGTTCATTTGACTCCATCTGATTACCATGTAATATCGTAAAGAGTGTATTTTTCAACAGAAAAGGCAGGGTGAATGTGTTATGAATGCAAGGTTGTGGGAGGTGGAATAGTTACCGATAAATAACTGCACGTTCACTGAGACTTGAAAATAGAGGTAGATTGTAATGAATTAGTAGACTTGCTTGCTTTCGTTCAAATTTAGAGAATCACTACTTTTATATACACATACCACGTTCTATGGCTTTCCATATCCCCAGTCGCTCAGTTCCATTCTGCTCTGAGTCATCACATTCTATTCCATCCTGTTCTATTCTATCTGACTCTGGTCTGTTCTGTTTTAACCATTACATTCTACATCTCAGTGATCCACGATAACCAGATGCAGGGGTGGTTATGTCATCAATCACAACAGAATGATGCTTGTGAATTATTAGTATGAATCCTTGGTTTGATCGCGCGAGGCGCCAGCAATTTCAAGCGTGAGACATAGAAAGGATTATGGGCAAAGTGAGCAATATAATGTGTCCGTCAAGATGAGGCCGGCAAAGACAAATTTTTCACCTCCCAGTGGTCGCAAGGAACAAACCATGTAGTACTACCACCTGATATTATTTGCCAGTCACCTGGTGCACATTGTGTATTGAATATGTGAAAACTCCCTGAGGGTTCTTCTCTCGTTGTAGATGATCTAATTCACCAGATTTGACCTCGTTAATCTTGCTAAGCTTACTGTGACAGAAACTCGGTCGGTAGATATTCCAGAGCCATCGCTACATGTTGGTTGATGGAATGATTGCCTTGGTCACCTATTCGCTCCGTTGGCCTGTGCGTCTTGAATACCAATATCACTAGGCCCTTAATGTACATGTATATCTGTATGTAAAGATCTGTATGGTATGTATTCTGTATATCTAAAAGCTACTACTCTACAGAGGTGGTGTGTGTGCAATAGTTATTCCGAACCTTACACGGGGTTACTATGATCCGAATCTGCTGGATCCACAGGCCTGCAGTCTCAGGTTATGTTGTATCACCTGACTTTGATAAGAACTGGATGGATGGTTTGTGCTAAGAGCTAGGGCTGCGCATAAGTAAATCATAATATAGTGCTCAGGTACAAAATGATGAGAGGGATATAGAGAACAAAATACATTGCAATACCAAACCCTAGATTGCCGACACTACAAGCACAGAGACAGCCAGATGGCAGCGAAGCCTGCCATCATGCCATAAAATTAGCCACTTTTTCCTTGCTCTCCCAACAAAGTTTTGGTTTAGCTGGTCTTGGTGGTTGGAGAGATAGAGGCAGTTAGGCTTCTGGCAGAAGTCGGAACATCCTTTAGACCCTCTTATCGCGAACTCGGTCAAGGCCAAGTCTGCATTTGTTACATGTTTTTAGTCCAAGGTGGTGGCGGGCACTGTCGGTGCTTTCAGTAGCTATTCTTGTCAGGAGTAACACTGAGCTCATTTGGTCGGAACTACAGAATTGCAAAGATCTCTCGACTATATAAATCACGAAGAAAACTATAAGGACCATTAAAGCCAATATCACTTCAAGCTGATTATCGTAGTCCCCCTCGATACTCCGAATTTTTTTGAAGTCACCATTTAATGCTGAGAAAAAGGCACAGCACGGCCGAAACCCCTTTCTTCCAATACTGGTGTCGACGAGGAGTTGTTGGAGGACGCCAAACTTGGGCTCCCGAGTATGAATGTTCCATGACACATTCAAAGGCGGTAAGTGACGATGGGACAGATACTGGGTCGTGGAAGCTTTGGAAGTGGTTGAAATGAAGGACTTACGATAGGGCGGCCATCACCCAGAAGCTTGACAGAGGCAGTCAATGGAGGGCAAGACTGAACACCTGTACGCGGTGTCCTCTACGAACCTGGGAGTGAAATATTCTCCCAGAGCCAAGTTCAGTCAAATTTCGCAATATCAAAGAAGTTGGCCTACGAGGCAAAAATTCAAATTACTCCACCATGTCAATCTTTCACTCCCAAAGAGTCCGATTCTCAACTAAGCTTCATCCAGTCTACAAGTACGACCTAGTAGATCCTCGTTTCAATGACCACACCTCTCGTCGACTTTCTCTGGCCTCAGCCGGTCACCAAATACACGCCCACGCCGATATTTATACCCGACGGAGGAAGCAAAGCGTGGAGCACAAATCTGGGAGATAGATCTTTGAGATGGACGTGAGAGGGATCAGGACAAGTTCACAAGATGATGCAGAAGATTGGATACAGTCTCGACAGGCATGGAATTTTGAATTTTGGCAGGGAGTTTTTACGAATTGAGCTTTGTGCGTGCCAAGTCTTCGCTTGCGAGAGTGCAGCTGACACTATAAAAACAAGCAAACGATGGAAGGTGTTTTGGTCCGCCTCCTGGTGGTGTTCTCTGGTATGGTTTGAGTAGCCTGGGCACCTACTCCACCTGGGAAGGAGACATCTCAGATCATGTTTCGCGCGGAGAAAAGTTGATGGATGACGGAGGCATGTCTGGATAACTCAGGGTTTTTGAGACGTTCCCTGGGTGGGTATTCACAGATGAGGGTTGACTTGGGGTGAAGAAAAAGCCACCATAACTTCGCCGTGGTACTTGCAAATGAAATCCGAGGCATGAGTGCTCCTCTTGTAAATTGAGTCATCTTTTCTGTACTTTACTTTGATATTGTGTCATGGCTAGATAGCTGCATACGCAATTAAAATCTGATGCAAAAAAAAAAAAAAAGAGGCAGTCAATCCTTTAAATCTTTTCTAACTTTCCCAGGCGCCGAGCAGTGGCTGGGCTTCATTTTTAAATTGCTGAGCTCACTGGGGCGCTGGCACCTCGGTTAGTCTTGATAGACTAAATTAACTGGCAAGACATCATGTAATCAAAAAAGACGTTAGAGACACTCATAATCTACAATTCATTCGCAAAACCACTAGAAAGTGCGCTTGCGCACACAAACTGTCGACCCTCCTCCACGAATACACCCCCAGGGGGACGTCTCAAAAACCCCGAGTTATCCAGACATGCCTCCGTCATTCATCAACTTTTCTCCGCGCGAAATGTAATCTGAAATGTCTCCTTCCCAGGTGGAGTAGGTGCCCAGGCTACTCAAACCATACCAGAGAACACCACCAGGAGGCTGACCACGACACCTTCCATCGTTGGTTTGTTTTTACAGTGTCAGCTGCACCTTTGCAATCAAAAGCCTAGCTTGCACAATACTCTTCAACATCTGAATATCCTTGCCAAAACTCAAACTTTCACGCCCTTCAAGGTTATTTCCTTCCTTTGCATCATCTTATGAACTTGTACTGATCCCTCTCACGCCCATCTCATATTGCTGTCTCCCAGATTTGTGCGCCACGCTTTGCTTACTCAATCGGGTGTAGATATCGGCATGGGTGAGTATTTGGCGACCAGCTGAGGCCAGAGAATAGTCGCCGAGAGGTGTGATCATTGGGTTGAGGATGTACTTGGTCGTACTTGTAGGCTTGATGAGACTTAGGTAGGAGTCTAACTCGTTGGGAGTGAAAAAATGACGTGGAGAAGTAATTTGAATCATTGCCTCGTGGGCCAACTTCTTTGATATTGCGAAATTTGACTGAACTTGGCTCTGGGAGAATATTTCACTCCCAGGTTCGTAGAGGACACCGCGTACAGGTGTTCAATCCTGCCCTCCACCTTCTGCCTTGGGCGGCTGAGGCAAACAACAATTTAACATGAAGAGTTTTTCCTCTGGTATGGATATTAAGGAAAGATGATTGAGAAACTGACCTTTTTTTATACAAAAGTTATCATAATTTGGATAGTTGATAAGGCGCAACTATAGTTATCTTTGCACCACGAGATTTCAGAGTAGATCTGACTTTTAAACAATCCATGCGCTATGTAGCTATATTTGAGGAGTCATCCTGGATTATATGCCTCAGATAGGTTGTGATGAGTTTTAAAAATTAGAGAGATTCTGTAGGAATTTTGCATGCCTCTGTTCACTCTGGTGCTAGATAGTCTCAGAGTAAAGTGGTACATTACTTCAAACCAATTTATAATGATCTCCAATACCAAGTGAAAGGTCAGTACTAAATATGATCTGATGACTGCGCGCTAGTAGGGATTGAGCAGCAGCGCGCGAGAAGTGGACAAAACACATCAGGCCGTTCCTGACTTTTGTACAAACTAGTCGCTCAATACTGATCTTCTTCAGCCTTATTATCAACTCTGTCCAAATTTAATAATTTACAATTGCGTTTAATCTAAAATACAACAAAGTATTCAAAATCCCTCCCAAATGGCACTCGATCAACGTGACTATGCCAGCCAGGGCGGAGGAGGTCGAGAAGGCGGCTATGAAGGCATTTTTATACGAGGAAGAGGGAAGCGTACGTCCGAAATGCATCTATCTTATTTTTTCTCTGCAAGCCCTCACATAACTGCAAATTTTCGTGATACAGAGACCCAGGGCCCGCAAGAAGTCCTATGTATCGCCTTGACCAAGTACCTCGAATCTATGAATTTAACTTTTAGTAGATCTCTGCCTTGAATAAGAGACCTGCTTGGAGTTAATAATTGTTTCAAAATATTTGCACTAGTTCAAAGCCTTCTTCGGAGTAATTGATCAACTTTGTTAGAGCTTTGTTGATTATTTGTTAGGGCCGGTCACTGATTATGCATCTACTTTAATCCATTGGATGAGAAACCGACAACCCAGGTATAAAGGCGGTTACTCAGGTGAGGTTGAGAGGCCTAGCCCGAGCTACATTATTGATGTGAAATAATACCTGTGGATAACCTTGAAATTCCAACTGACAAAGTTAGATGCTGCCACCTTTGTCACGAACTGGTAGTCCGGCTGATACCCTCCCATCTCGGCATCTTCATACATCCCTTAACAAAAACAAGCATCCAGTGAATGTGGTCGCATGGACACCGGAGGGTAGAAGATTACTTACAGGATCAAGCAGCGGAGAATTCACGCTATGGAATGGAACGGGTTTCAATTTTGAAACTATTATGCAGGCACATGATGTTGCAATCAGAGCACTCTCTTATTCTCACAGTGACGACTGGTTACTATCAGCGGATCACGACGGTCTCATCAAATACTGGCAGCCTAATTTTAATAATGTAAAGGTTATACAGGGACACAGCGATGCAATTCGAGATCTTGCGTTCAGTCCCAGTGATGCCAAATTTGTGACGGCTTCAGATGATTCTACCTTAAAAATATTCGACTTCGCAGGTGGTGCGGAGGAATCGATCTTAAATGGTCATGGATGGGACGCAAAAAGTGTTGATTGGCACCCTACCAAAGGACTTCTTGTTTCAGGGTCTAAGGATCATTTGGTGAAGCTATGGGACCCTAGAACTGGCCGATGTCTAACAACCCTACATGGACACAAAAACACTATCACGAAGACCATCTTTGAGCCAATTAAAGGTAATTGCCTCGCAACTTCAGCTCGCGACCAGACTGCACGCATTTTTGACCTTCGAATGATGCGTGATATCCTTCTGCTTAAGGGCCACGAGAAGGAAATATCCACTTTAACCTGGCATCCTATGCATTCTTCTTTGCTTTCTACTGGCGGTGGTGATGGATCGATTTTTCATTATCTACTTGATGAGTCTAATAACGCTCCTGGCACAATATCTACCCTTGCGCCCCATGATACACCAGATCCAACCACCGCGCCAGCTCAAGCAATTTATCCTGCCCACAAAATAAATCATGCACATGAGTTTCCTGTTTGGTCTCTCGACTGGCATCCTCTAGGCCATATCTTAGCTTCCGGCTCCAATGATCGTTCCACAAAATTCTGGACTCGAGCTCGACCCGGAGAGACCGACATTGCGAATGATCGATATCATATTGGTGAGGCAGCAGCCGAAGCACAGGGTACGTATGATCGTCGAGGGGGTCGCCGTCAACGTCAGGAAGAAGAAGAACAGGAACTGCAAGATGAAATCGATGGTCTAGTTGATCAAAAAATGCCACCAAAAGTACCTGGATTTCCTGGGATTCCAGGATTACCACTACCACAAAGTAGCCCGCTTCAGATCCCGGGCATGCAGAGTAAAGTATCTGCTCCTCCTATAGTGCCGCCGCCTCTGGTTACTTCTCATACTCCAAGCATAATACCAGCGATAAATCCAAATAACGCACCAGATTTCGTGAAGTTAGCGGAAATGATGCAAAAAGCCGGACTACCACCTCCGCCCCCAATCGGAGTTGATGGTCAATTACCTCCGCCACCAGGCATTCTTCCGCCTGGAGTAATTCCACCGCCCCCCCCTGGGTTTGGCATGGCATTTACTCCCCTTCCAGGACTTAGCGTGCCCCCGTTTAACATTCCTGGAATGGGTATAGACAACATATTACCTGAAATGCAACCGACAGAGAATACTGGAGGGGGTATAAGGAGAAAGGGACCACTGCCGAGTCAGGAGGAAAGTTTGCAGATGGAACAAAGAAAGGGTAAATATACTCGAGCCAGGTAGAATTGATGACATGAGAGTCATATTAGCCAGAGGTCAACCACCTTGGGTAAACAGGACAAGAAATGAGTACAATGGAGTTCAAAATAATTTTGGAGGGGTGTTCATCTAGTTCTTAATATCATTGGAGAATCAGGAATTAAAACGGGCGTCATATGTATAGAGATACACATCATAATAGTTCACAAAATAGAATCGAAAATGTTTCACAGTTTCTTTCGATGCAAAGGTAGATTCCTGAAAACCCGGCAATTTATGAAAACTTTTTAACAAGAGCCGATTTGAGTGAATTTTTACTACTTGTGCTTTATAATTTTAACTACTTCATTTTAACTAATAATTTTAACATACTCAAAGGGTTCATTAGAAGCTGGGTTAACAAATTAGCCAGTAGTATCTTGGACTTCCAGAAGATAAATCCTTCAACAAATAAAGATTTGGACACAGACATAGGACTCGTTCCAAGGAATAGGCCTAGGCGAATGCGGGGTAGAAAATATTTTTGGATACAAAATTTACATAAATCTAAACAATTACAACATTTCTCTGTCGATGTTCTTAGTCGTGTCAGCTGCTGGATCAGACCCTTGATTCTCGGGCTGGAATAAGTAAGGCGAGTGATGCATAAAGATCGAGTGCATGCGCTCAAATAGCACCGCAATCTACTTTGTCGATACTTGAACTTGTGAGCTGGATTGGCAGATATTTAATTCATTGTCCTTTACTAGTCTATGACTATATTAGAAGTGCAGGTCCTCTCTGCCTACAGGCCAAGGATACCTATGCCAGTAGTATATCCCCTCCTATGCCTCTAGTACAGCTCCCCTCACACAGTACCGCCTCTCACAAGTCCTCATTCGATCTTACACTTAAAGATGCCCTTCGCCCTTCATCATCTCTCCTCTCCAGCCCACGAAGCGACGACCATTTGCGGGTGTATGGTAGCCGGGAAAAATCGCAAAAGCCACTGGGCGCGAGGCTCTTCTAGTACCGGTATCAGGACCAAATCCGAAGACAAAGTGACCCTTCTATAGCGTTCAAAGAGGTTGGTCAGCTGGACGCTGCAAAATTGTGAGTATCTTAGGTAATTCACACTCTGCCTTTCTAGCCTCCTTCCAACTCCTTCCCCGAGGTCGTGCTGAAACTTCAGAAATGTCTTGACAGAGCGTGATTGCTGCATGGTAGCTTAGCCCAACTTCTTCTGTGCCGTCCAGGGCGCTGGGGAGTGCCGTTGACTCATCGACAAAAGAAGCCCTCCTCTTTAATTAGCCAAAATCTCGGTCTCGGCGCCTACAAACGTTCCACAGTTGAAAAGTTCTCGAAAATGTCAGTCCCGGCATGGTCTTCAGAGACCTGTTCCCCCTCTCTTTCCACGTCTCAGCCGCCTGTCCTCTCTCAAGATATATAACCCCATTACAGCAACAGTCCCACATAAACCATGGCCCGAGCTTTGTATATTATGACTTAGTTTTCTCCTTGCGGGTACATGAACCGTCGTGAATTTGTTGTCGGTGATGGCCGGTAATGGTTGAGGCAAGCTCCTGCTTGAAATTGGGGTTATGCCTTTATCGTACTTTTTTATTTATTTATTAAGTGTATGCAGCCTAACTAGCTATGACACTTTTATTGATCGTCGAGGCGAGATGATGTGTGGTTAAAAAGAGGTTGAGGATTCAGAAGATAATGGTAAGTGCTGCATGATTGAGATGTCGATAAATGGATATATGCATGTGTCTGCTTTCGACTTCGATTCGGATGCGATACTTCAAGGCTATCCTAGATATACAGAGTATACTGAGTGATGATACCAGCAACACTGGAAGGTGAAGCTTTCATCTTTACCGGCTTGGTATCGCATTATCTCTTCTCATTCTCAGCATCATTATCGCCGTCTTGGTCGCCTTATGTGTTATCGGAAGCGTATCTTTGACGGAGGGGAGATGACTCAGCTCAAACTTGAAAAAATGTTACTCAATCTCGGCTCAGCGGACTCCACAGCGAGAGCTAGAGGCTCGTAGGGGACAACACTGATAGGTGTTGAGAATAGTCCCCCAAGCCCTTGCTTCCTTGCGCAGACTAGGATAATAACACCTTTTTATCATCCACCCTTGATCATGGAGGAGATGCCATCCGATGAGTTTCCGGAGCGTACCGAGCACCCGAAACGGAGATGGTGGATTGGATCAAGTCGACCTCGACTGTTACAAAGAAGGGAGATATAGATGAATATGCGCACCTCATGTAGTCCCGGTGTCTAGGCCTCGTCTGGCTGGGGCTGCAGATTTTCCGAGACATTTTCCTGCGCACGCAGTTTCCATTGCTATCATTTTTTTCGGAGTAGAAAGTTCCGTGGAAAAGGTGGCCGAACTCCACGGGCAAACACTGAGCTGAATGGCTATTCATCACGAGCAATATATCAATGATCCTTGAAGTAACAAAAGAGGCAAGGAGCACTGTACAAGGTGTGGCCTGGGTCAGAGAGGAGCCCCAGGCAGAGCTGGCCTCGAATCCTCCACAGTTAATCAGCCAGGCTATGTCATCCCCAAACTGAGGAACTAATTGGTTTCTTTTATATATCACACTGTGTCTCTACAATCTCCAGAATTACGGGTATCGTAGGGCAAATAGATCCTCAGCCAAGTAGTTGTCTGATACAATGAATTTTGAAGATTGGATATAGGTAATTTATATTGTTCAAGGATAAACCAATGCACATTTTTTTCATCAAGTGTATGCAGCCTAACTGGCCATGACACTTCTTGTGTACATGAGGGCGTCTAAAATTGCCGGCAAAGACAAATTCTTCACCTTCCAGCAGTGCCGGTGTGATCACTCAGAATGCTCAGCATATCTGGGATAGCCAAGAAGAGTTGCATCCGAATCAGACTCAAAAGCAAACACGACTGTATCTAAATTTGACGAATTCCCATTAAAATTGCTCTAATCATTCTCATGAGTCCTCTACTTCAATCTTACTACAACACCACGCCCTAACCAGCGAAAATGGCGTTACTCCAATTGTCATCGAGCATTTGCCTCATCAAAAATCGGCCATCTACCACTAGAAAGTTAGGATGCTGTGTATACTGGCGAAGGCGAAACTAAGTCACAGTAAATAAAGCTCGGGTCTTGGTCTATGGGGGGCCGTTTTTCTAGTGGGGCTTTACATCTTGAGGGAGAACAGGCAGCTAGGACGTGGGACGAGCGAGTGAAGAGGTCACAAGCGGGCATGCTGGAACTCACTTTTCTCGAGTGTTTTTGACACTGGGGTACTTGTGAGCGGCTAGTCTATGGTTTTGGATAGTGCCACCGACACTTTGACAACAGGCAGCGATGGAAGGTGATGTCGACAGCCTCCCGGTCGCCATCTCCCCGAGTTCAAGTCTGGGTAGCCTGGACACCTTGCGCGCTAGAGAAAGGGAGGACTGTGAGGCCATATCTCGCGCCGTGGTCATATACAATATGGCAAAGGCATGGTATGGGATCCAAAAGTTTCTCCAGCTGTCCCTTTGGTGGATGTTAACGGTTGAGGAAAGCACTAACCTTCTCCGTCTCTTGGTCATGAGTGCTGGGCATGTGCCTGTCGCGGGCAAATATCCAATATTCATGCATCGGGTCTTAAATTACAGTTCAGTCTGGTCTGTGCAGCAGGTGACTGGGCACATACCTAGGATCTACAACTCTGAAGTCCTTGACCAAGGGGTGCAGGGACTTGGTACTTACAAGCAGTATCTCCTTTGGACCTAGTAGCAAATTACTTTCTCAGAGCTGCCCTCGGTTAAAAGTCGCAACACAGAATATGACGGCCCACCAGGCTACGGTCCAAGAATCCTTACCACATCAAGCTTCGCTCTCAATAATAACGCTCCCGACCGAAGCGTTATCAAGTTTTAAAGTAGCAGATAGCACTTCTTTAATTTACTGATCAAACCTGTCGCCGATTGAAGTTCTGGCCCTAGCCAGCCTCCAATTGCACATCCACGATAACATGAATACCTGCAGTAGGACCAAAATTGTAGAGAACAAGTCTGGTAAGGTAGATCTTTGGGAAGAATGTGCAAGATATATGGAGAGGAAAGCTAGATGATTCTAGAGATTAGTACAGTCTTGAAAAGAGTTGTTTCACCAATTTTGGGAATTAAACTTTCACATTCAACAGTGTTGTACGAGCCATGGCCTTAGTTTCGAAAATTCATGCAACCATATCAACACATCCAGGACTGAATATGCCATGGTACATCATCTAGCCTGGTCTCTCGAGTAGATTCTAGACTGCTTAGAGATCTAACCCTAGTCAGACAGGAGATCGCTGTTCCGAGTCCTCAAGACTCAACCGTATTTCTCACAGCGCTGGTATACATGGGTAATCAAAGATCTTGAAACTTCTCTTTTTCTGGTGCAAACCGAGGAGTATGACTGTGGTATTTGTGAATGAAATCCAGAGTATGAGTGTCTCTAACGTCAAAAGAGTCATCCTACATGAATATTTAGCACCGGTCGTGTGTCATAGCTAGATAGCTGAATACACATTGTATGATTAAAAAAAGGAGTATGACTGTTCTATTAAGAAAAACATGCTATTACTTTTATTAACCCATTTATGTCCTCTTTGACTTGGTAACCACATAGGACAAACTGTTCAGAAATATCATATCTTTTGCATCCTAAATTGGGGTTTCACCATCATGGTTCACCAGTAAACATACATCATAGTGATATTTGCGAGCGAAATTGATAACATAAGTATCATTGAACACAGAAGAATTGTGACGCATTTACTCAAGGCATATTTCATGTGCTAAAGCTACATTACAATATGGCTGAATTCACACTAAATGGTTGAGAAATGAAAATATCTAACATCACGCAGTATTATGATCACTAATAAATTTTTTCCTGCAGTAGAGTTTGTTTTAATTCCTAGCGCTTCGATGTTTGTAGGTGATCAATACAGTTTCGTGATTGAATACTACCGGGCTTAGAGATTTTACTCATCTCTGAGAATCCTGAGGTATCATTAGTACCAGTGTCTCTGGAGTGTTGAAATAATTCATTAGTTAGCTTAGGTGATTATTAATTTTTAACATTGACAGTTTTATGACGTGGGCTGCGAAACTTTGATGTGAAAGGAGTAGGCTGTTTACCACTTATGGGACAAATTTCATTAACATGGTTGGTTAGAAGTCCCAGGCTATAATCTTTCATCTTTCTAGATTTTGGTCCATTGGGTGAGGGGAAGTATACGTTACAGCACGTCACTAAGTTGCTGAGGGACCTTGTAGTAATTATCAACTTTTATGAAATAATGCCCCAACAGCCTCTGATCCTCATCTGGTAATTAGAATATTTATAACATCCCGACTTAAACGTTACTCGCACACGATACAACAGCAAACTTCATGATTCTCCGCAGTAGAAACTAAACTGTGGTCGCATTTTGAACTCTCCAGGGCCATGTTTTGCCGAGTTCCCAGCTACCATATTACCAAATTTGGCTCTGATCTGACATTAAGACCCTAGCGTACAAAGCTATAAAAAAAAAGAAAGAAGGTTCATATGATTTACAGCAAAATTTGTGCAAGCCCTCCAATTAAGGATAGACCGGCAGCAGCATCACTCAAAGTCAAAGTGGAAGCCGCACCCTTGCTAGATTTAGGGCCGGATCCGCTACTAGTTCCCGAACCGAGACCGGCGGCGTTTGAGGTTGTTTTACAAACATAAACTCCTTGAATGACCTTTCCGGCACCATGTTCGGAGTCGAAGTTTGAACAATCAATGCTCGCAGTCGATTGCAAGTTAAATCCACCTTTAACATTTTCCAAGGCCGGAAGATCAGGTCTATGCAGGTTATTTATATTGCACATAGATAAATGGGAATGACTTACGTGCTGAAATTTCCAGAAAAATCAATTGCTCCGCCGACATATGTAAGTGATGGAAAGCTAATGCTCGATAATGCAGAGTTGTTTGCAATCTGAACTGCTCCCCCGACTGTCTTAAGGAGCGGCATGGATACGTTGGCGAGTTTCCCGTTGGCGACAAAAGCTAAACTTCCTTGTCCATCGGCCTTCGAGCCGACAGACGTGATGTTGGGAGCCGAGACGCTGGGCATATAGTTTCCGTAAAATCCTAAGGAGCCATCAACAATAGCGAGAGATGGTATACTGACTGTTGAAACATTGCGAAATGTCATGTTTGCAGCTCTAATAAGGTTAGGAAAGCTGACATCGAGATTGTTGCCATTCGAGTTAATGTTGAGGGAGGATGTGACGTTAGAAACTTGGGTACTGAAAGTTTTGAGCCGATTGTTGTTATCTATTTGTAAGGTTTGGACAGTTTCCAGGTTTATACCATCGAGTGTACTAAGAAAGGTGTTGGAGATGGTTACGCTCTTGGATCTGGTTACAGTAGCGGGGAAATTGAGTTGGGACAACGCAGGTAGTGCAACCCAGTTTATGGTGCTAGCTGCCTTGAGCGCTCCCATAGAAAGTGTTGAAAGTAGTGTCAAGTTGTTCAAGTTGAAGGCTCCACCAATGGAGCCAATGGTTGTAGACCCAAGGCTTGTTAGACCACCTGCATCCTCACAGACCAAATTTCCAGTGATCTGCTGTGGGCCATCAATTGAAATTATGCCAGAGGCACCAGGTCCGACAATAATATTGCCTTGAAAGGTGGAGCAGGATGCGAGAGCAGACGCATCGGCTTGAGAATTGATCGTTGCTGTTGGCTGCGAGCATACTGAGGGAGATTGAGCTGTCGAGGAGAAGTAGTCAGCTTAGTTTGTTTTTGTGTTGTATAATTTTCTGAGCTGAGTAAATGAACCTACCATACGCCACACTAGCTAATGCAGCTAGGGGAATAAAATTGGTGAACATGATAGAATAATATTTAAACCAAGTTGAAGTCTTTGCTATGCTCAGAATTAGTGGGTTTGTATTGATGTGTAAGAACACTAGATATATGAAGCAACAGGTCTAATTGCAGAATGATGATGACTAGTTTTGATGATTTAATATTTCGGAAAGATGTTCGGATTTTATCATCAAGTTCAGGGCCTAGAAAAGAAGGACCATCTTGCAAATAAAGGTGGCTGAATAGCTATGTAGTACAACGACGAACGCATAGGGAAAGACCACCCTTGAACGTACCGATAATCTAGGTCGAGTTAGAGGATGATTAATTGCTTTGACGGTTATATAAATTCTGATTTTCTTACAAGAATGGCTATAGAGTAGATATATTTGAGAGTAGTCGCGTTGAAGGAATGCAGTCAATTGACCAGCTGTGGACAATTAATATGTGTTTGGAGACGATCACGACAGTAAAAATTTGCTGGAAGACTGAAGAGAATGATACGAATGATGCCGAGCGTGTGTGTGTGGTATGCGGAGATGATCAAGCGTTGTTAAAGGAACCTTAGCGCAAACCACAGGAGAGAAGAAGTTTGGAATCTAGCGGAACTCAGGGGAGGAACTAGTCCTTTCCTAGCTTTAGCGTCATTGGGGGACACCTGACTTTGACGGCCTACTTTCTCAACCACGCAAGGAGACAGAGAGGAAAACCCCCTTAATTTGCTAGCAATAACCCACCACATGTGGTTCACAATGAATTTTCAATGGGATTTTTCACGATACAGCGCTGCAATAGAAAAAAACTGAGGATACTTAGCTACATACAAAATTTCAATCTATGTCGTTCCCCATACACCTGAAAACGTCGCATACGCGCTATAATTATTTTTTGAGATTAGCCTCTGGACTTGCAAGACTCCCTCTAATTTGGGGCCGAGGGTTAGGATTCCGAACGCGGATCACACGAACCTCCTACCCACACCCAGTTGTAGACGTTCACTCTTTCGAACACTGAATCCCTAGTAACTATTAGTCTTGTTGAGGGTGTGAGGTTGCCTACCCCAGCCTAGCTAACTGTATCTGATGACTCATATAGATACAAGGGTCATTTCACAAACAGTCATGGCAACAGGGTATCAATACCCACAGTCGTCGTAATACTGAAAACGCGCGACATACTGGTCCGTCATGTTTGGTTATCTGGATTTAGATACAACCCATTTGGTGAAGCATGCGCGCTAGGTATCAATGAATTATTTATAGGTATCGGTTGCTATGTAGGCGAAATTTGGCCACGGACCTCATCAATGGTCAGGGTGTAAAATTCCATGGAGCAATCATTTCATTCAAAAATTGTCGTATAGGGTCCGAGCTGCAGTCAATCACTAGAGTAACGATTTTCGATAGCCCGTGAGATGGGGTAATCCTGGTCACTCGGGTTCAAGCTTCATTTCTGTGTCAGTTCGAGCATAGAGCGATGTCATGTCCATGGTGCGTAGTTATCACGACGATCCCGAAGGATTTAGCTGGTAAATTGTAATTTCTACGTGAAGTCTAAGGGATGCACCCGTCGACGATGGTATTCGGCAAAGATTATTGCCTTTATGCTATGATAAGAAAATTGTTCAACACCTCTTAACTTCTCTGACAATGCGCGGATTAGGTTCTTGTTTGATACGAACGGGCCAGCACAAGTATTTGATTTTCATGGTAAAGACCGTGCGGTAGAAACTTCGCCCGCAACCCCAGACTTTCAACAGTCCGGCCGCAGCAAACTGATGCATTTGAGACTCGCGCCGTTGAACATTACACAACATATCTCCAGTTTAGGAGTAAAATGTAATTGAAAACTAGCCACTCTTGCTTAGCCAATTTGGTTCGCCTCTTATTAAGCCGCAATGAGTCAGGAATAACATGATAGCGAGAACGTCCAAGTATAGCATTGACTTCCGTAAGCAGTATGACCAACCCTGGAATGTGACTTGACCGATAATTTCAGATATATTATCACAAATATTAATTGCGAATTTCCTAAAATGTCCAGGTTCAAACCTGCTAGTGTGCCTTTGCTCAAAAGATGCACAAGTTGGACTCCACTGTTCAGTTGCTACATTCGCCCGTCAATAGGCAGTCTTAAACATAGTTTGATAATCTGGGACATGATGGAGAATTAGGCTGGCCCAACGGACGGGAAGCTGATCTCCGTTAGAGAAAAAAGATTGGCCCTGGTTTGTTGATGAGGCAACTACAGCATCTTCTCAACAAGGTGATGTAGATGCGAGAGAAAAGTGGTAGTTATTCGCGGTCTCATATTCCCTAGCAGGATCTGTAATTGTGGCATGCAGCAAACAATGTTTGTGCTCATGCTAGTTAGTGAAAAGAAATTATACGCAAACGTTGTTTCAGGGTTGGCTGGAGATCATACAACGAATAGCTTCAGAGATACCCAAAGGATGATTGATGAAGTTGTTCATGGTAGACGCAAGAGACAGTGCGGCACCCGACACATAGAAATTATCGGGTCAAGGAGAGAAGCAATTTTTACGACCCGAGATAAGTCTGGACTACCCCAGACATTGATGAAATAAAATTATTGACTAATGGACAATTTCCCATGTACGACCCACCTTACCATAACTTCTGTTACAGCTAGTCAGGCCCCGTCACCCCTCCCAAATCCTTTACCGGTCAGGTTGAAACAACCTTCTGACCGGGCTAAATCTCTCATATATTGTCGTTATCTTCAAGGCTAGTCCTTCTTCCTCCGAGCGTGCTATGTTGAACAACTTGGGGCTTCATCCAAATGGCAGACGGAAAGTTACAAGGCAGGTAACTACTCTCATCATGTGAATCTTCAAGTCCACCACAATGGTCGCGTTGACAGAGGAGATTAATCCCTAGATTAACAGCCTGGACAAAGTTGGGTCACGGTTTATGGATTGATGATGAGCGAACTTAGTACTAGTGAGGGTGATAGAAGTCACAACTATGTAGCTGTCCATCCTATTCGCGTGGTATGAGGGGGTCTAGGGTTTCTAAGGTACGTTCATGAGTTTTTATCCCTGTCTCATTTACGACATCAGATTAAGCAGCACCAGTTAAGTCATCCTAAGATTCTTTAGCTAAACCTTCTATTCATTCGCTTCACAGGGCTTATCTGCTTCAGCAGACAAATGTATGGCGATAATTTAAAGTGATGTGAGCAGATGTACATTCAAGTATACTCAGTTCTAGTTATACACTCGTTTGACACATGAGAGCTGGAAGAGAGAATGAGATGTATGTTTACTGTACCACTTGAGTCATAGACTATGCAGCAGATTGAGTCCCGCTCCGACCAACGCCGCAACATGTAAGCGCTCCCATCCTCTTATTTTGCGAGATGACCCCTTGTTTATTGCCTGTGATGGATAGTCATCTAGGTCAGCAGTTATCCTTGAAATTCAGCCACCTTTCCACGAAACCTTCTACACAAAAATAATAAAAATGGCAGCAATGGAAACTGCGTAAGCGGGAAAAAGTCTCAGAAACCTCCAGCCCCAGCCAGGCGAGGCCTAGACACCAGGACCACCTGAGGTACACATCTTCATCTGCGTCTCCCTTATTGTATCAGTCGAGGCCGACTTGACCCAATCCACCATCCCCGTATCGGGTGATAGGTCCGCCCGAGGAACTCATTGGAAAGCTTCTCCATGCTCAATATATTATAATTATTTAGTCCTATATAGTCTATGACTATATTAGAAGTGCAGGTCTCTCTGTCTATAGGCCAAGGATACCTATGCCAGTAGTATATCCCCTCCTATGCCTCTAGTACAGCTCCCCTCACACAGTACCGCCTCTCACAAGTCCTCATTCGATCTTACACTTAAAGATGCCCTTCGCCCTTCATCATCTCTCCTCTCCAGCCCACGAAGCGACGACCATTTGCGGGTGTATGGTAGCCGGGAAAAATCGCAAAAGCCACTGGGCGCGAGGCTCTTCTAGTACCGGTATCAGGACCAAATCCGAAGACAAAGTGACCCTTCTATAGCGTTCAAAGAGGTTGGTCAGCTGGACGCTGCAAAATTGTGAGTATCTTAGGTAATTCACACTCTGCCTTTCTAGCCTCCTTCCAACTCCTTCCCCGAGGTCGTGCTGAAACTTCAGAAATGTCTTGACAGAGCGTGATTGCTGTATGGTAGCTTAGCCCAACTTCTTCTGTGCCGTCCAGGGCGCTGGGGAGTGCCGTTGACTCATCGACAAAAGAAGCCCTCCTCTTTAATTAGCCAAAATCTCGGTCTCGGCGCCTACAAACGTTCCACAGTTGAAAAGTTCTCGAAAATGTCAATCCCGGCATGGTCTTCAGAGACCTGTTCCCCCTCTCTTTCCACGTCTCAGCCGCCTGTCCTCTCTCAAGATATATAACCCCATTACAGCAACAGTCCCACATAAACCATGGCCCGAGCTTTGTATATTATGACTTAGTTTTCTCCTTGCGGGTACATGAACCGTCGTGAATTTGTTGTCGGTGATGGCCGGTAATGGTTGAGGCAAGCTCCTGCTTGAAATTGAAGTAATGCATCTATCGGCCGTTGAGGACTCATGAGAGAATGGTACGACAGCCGCTGATGAGGAGTTGTTGTGATGGGCATGTTATTTGGCAAGGATACTTGCATGTATACAACGTGATTAGATGTCTAGGCTGTGCGAGTAGTCCTTGTAATATTTGCTACATCTGTAGACGGAAGTTTGTGTGTGCAAAAGTTGACCTGTGGCCTCACAAGAGTATAAGTAGCAAGTATTCGGTACACTAAAATAATAATCAAGTACAATTATCCTCCAGTTTACCTTCAACCACATTCCATTGTCATCGATCCATATACTCGCACAAGGTCAGCATGCATAGTGATATTCACCTAGGCTCATAACTATGATAGGAGTCGTCGAAGAGAGATCTGCTCGTGCTTGCTTTCGACTTCCATTCGGATGCGACTCTTCTTGGCTCTCATAGATTTGCAGTGCATTCTGAGCGATCACATCGG